AGTTTATTCCAAAGTAGTTCTGATTCTTTCTTAAGCCTAAAAGCAGCAAAAATTAGAAGTCTAATTGGTAATCTACAGCACTTAAGATAGAGAAAAGTTTTTTCCCATGAAACACACTAAGTGACTTCATGTCGTGGTAAGTTATCAAATTGTGGAAAGAACATTGCAGAAATTAAAATGTTACATAAGAGAGAGAAAGCAGCATGAGTCAGGGGTTTGGGAAATATGAATCAGAGTAAAGGAAAAGAGCCAAAAACATAGAGAATGAGGGCCTAAGCGGGGACTTCGTGGACACCACAATGACATGGACATAGTTACCTCCATTAACTTTGAAAGAAAACAAAATATGCAGTTGCATAGACTGGGGTCAGTAAGGTAAAGAGGCTAGCAGTGTGAACTGAGCAAAGATCAGGCTATTATTTAAAGCAACGATGGTGCCAAAGTCAGCAAGAGAAGGACCTGCAATGCTATAAATCACTAGGAGAACATGGGCGCATTTTTGAAAAATGAGGGAATCACCAAATATTCCCATTAGCTATTCTTAATGCATTAGGAGGATGAAATGTGAGTTGATTAATGTGTTGTGATATTTTAGGAAGCACACTATCATTTTGTTCTTTGGTAATGTTTGCATTAGGCTCTGTCTACACGAGCTGCTCATTGTGGTGTACAATCCAAACTTTAATCCCACCTTTAAGGTCCTGAATTTTGCTCATGACTTGAACTACCATTTTTTTCCTCTTTTTTTTTTTTAGATTCTTTATTGTTTAAAGCAAGCATGTCTTGGTTTAAAGTATTACATATGAATCCTTTTTCCCCTCATTGATATATCTACACAATGGAATACTGCACTGCTGTAAAAAAAAAAAAAAAGGAACTTTTGTACTACCATTTTATGAGCACCTTCAACCTGGCACTTCACCAGACTCCTCACAGGCAGCCCCTGCAGCCAGGCTGACTCCAGCTCTCAGCCATTCTCATGAAAACCACTTTTGTCTTGTTAGTGTTTTCTAATGTAACCTGCCTTCTGCCTAGAAATAGCCTCCTATTTATGTCAATTCCATGTACCTCACCTTCTTCAAAATGCCGCTCAGAACTCATCTTTTCCAGCAAACCTTCCATAGTCATCCTCATCTGATGCTGCCTTATTCTTCGTAGCTTCTGCATTTCTCAATGCCCTTGCTCCACATCCTTTCCCATTTGCTGACATCTTGCTGGTTTTGTTGTTTTTCTCACAACTTGCCCGGTAACCTACCTTGTAAATGTTTAGTTCCATGAGATAAAATACTGGTCCTACTTTATGTAAACTCTAGACCTCAGTTTTCAGTAATTATGATTCATTCATCCATTTTTAAACAAATATTTATTGAAAATCCACCATATTTCATGCATTCCCCTAGGCACTAGAAATACAGAGAGATGGAAACACATAGACCCTATCCTCAAAGAGCTTGGGTCCAGGGAATGTGTTAACTGATGGCCTAAGAACTTAGTGAACTTAACTGTCAAGGATAAATTATAGCTTATAAACAAAGCTTCTCCCCAGAATACTTCTTCAGTTATCAGGAAAATCATGGCTGACCTGAGTACTTTTCCTTTTGAATATAATATTGCTTTTGCCACTACAGATATCCTCAAGTAGAGGGCTTTCATAACCACATCTGGGGAAGGCATATCTTCTGGTACATCTGAACAAGGATAGATATTTTGCTTTAGGTTTCTGACAAAGATGTCTATTTTAGTGATTTTCTTATACATTAAACTTTCTGACATCTAAGACAAATAGAAATGCAGACAGGTAGAAAAGAGAAGCATAAAAGAGTTTAACAATGTATAGCAATTCTTATACGACTTTGTATTTTCTTATATAATAATCTAATATGGATTATATGGTTTGTGAATATCATAACAATATCTCCAAGTACTATTTTCAAAATAATAAAATTGTTTTATTTAAATAAGCAAATAAATTGGCAGTGCAATTGAGGATAATTCAAAGAAATCCAATCTCTCTCTCTCTCTCTCTCTCTCTCTCTCTCTCTCTCTCTCTCTCTCCATTAGATAACCTGCTAAGAACAAAGGAGAGGATAAATAACTTAAATTCGAGTCAGAGAAGCCATAAATGAAAATGTAGTTAGATCATATACTAACAGATGCAACTCAAGGTGTATGATAAAGCACGCATTCAACTCTTTGGGAATAATGTCACAAAGGGAATTTCACACAGCTGCATTTTATTAAATTTCAGAAGGTTTCTCCTCTGAAAGAATTAAAAGTGAATCCATGTAAACATGTATTAAAAATATTAGTAGTCAATTCTAGGTGAGATGAGTCCTATTGCCGTTTTGTTTGTGTGATAGAAAAAGGAAAAGAATGGAGTGGAGGCAGTGATATTTTACTTGTTTTTATTAAATTACTTTAACGCACCCAATTTTTTATTAAATAACTAGAGGCCCAGCACGAGAAATCGTGCAAGATCCAGACCCACCATGTCGGCAGAACCCAGACCCCTGTCACACTAGTGGGACCGAGACCCCCCCACCAGGCCACAAGACCCATCAATGCATCTCTTGGTGACAGATCATTTGGTCGTTTTGGCAATACAACCACTGGCCATTTATAATATAGATACTTCTCAGAGGTAAATGGACCTGTTCTTAAAGAGAAACAGGTCCATGGAGCACAGTTCTTATGTTTAAAATCTACTTAATGATATATTTATTCCTCTATAAATGCTACCCTATTTATTAAAGAGACAAAACTGAACAAGAAAGTAGGAAAGAAATTGTAGGACATCAGAAGTATAGCAGGGTGGAGGCAGTTTTCAGAGAGAAGACTTGGTCACTGGTGAGGCCTCTTTTAGAAAATGCTGCAGCCAGCCAGTCCTTGATCTTCTGCCAGCATGTACTGAGGAAATCTGCCACAACTGAATATCACATTGCAGTATCTCTTAGGGCTGTTATCACTGCAAATGCTGTCAAATGTTCTTGACATAAAACAATAGGAATTCTGTTGTCATCTCTGCATTAGCAAGTCATAAAGTTCTGAAGAAACCTCGGTAGAAATGTTTTCAGCACGTGCATATGAGAAAATAATAAAATACACACACACAAAAAAAAACAGATAATTTCAAAGCAAGATTGCTGCACTTTTGCATAGTACCCAAAAAGGATAGAGTTGTAATCAGTGATTTTAAAATAAAAACAATAAATTTCAATATAAAAATAAAAAACAGTAACAAAAATAAAATCACCAAAACTTAAAAACCAGGTTCAAAGAACTATGTAAGTAGATGCTTTAGTAGATCATTATCCAATAACAACCATATATCTCTCGAGTATTTTTCATCTCCCCTCCCTCATTCTTTTGGAATCTCTCATATCATCATTTCCACACCCAGCTAATTTAAGCCCATATCTGAGAACAACCCATCCTCTTATAACCAGAACTTCCTACATTATTACACTGGATACTGTAAGTGCAGTAAATCTCCTTGGAAATATTAGAAAGATGAATTTAACATTCTGAGCTTCTTAAAGGGAAGGGCAGGAATTGAAGAATAAATTCTAACGATGGCTCATTTTTTTATTATTGATTCTTAGCCCAAAGCACCATCCTGGGTCTACCACAGTGACGTTCTAAGACACCCCCCCCCCAAGCTTGTTGCAGTTTTTATACTAAATTTGTCATTAGGGAGTTACAAGGCTGTATTTTTTAGTAATGATACTTAGAGTTTTAAGTTGTTAAAGGATGCTAAAATCACAATTATATTATGTACACACACAGATTCACATCACATTTTGATCCCACAGAAATTTACTGTAACATGTTCATTATATTATGACTGAGCATTTTTTACTTTTCTAAAACTATAACCTACCTATTGCTTAAGTCACCTTTACTATATTGTTCCAGAACTGAAATATTTGGGGAAAATAGGTATTTTACACTATACCCGCCAATCTGTCCTAAAGAAATATGACCAAATTAAATCCTTTCTTTCTAAAGTTTGAACACGCATACACACAAACAGCAACAGGGAATGCATAATATTAAAGTTTGATTTATACCCTGTTATTTGGCAATAGAGACTTATCGATAGAAATTATTTCAATGCAATATGTTGGGTGGAAAAACAGTATCATACAATTTATTTACATTTTAAAACAAAACAATACTATATATTCTAATGGGTGCATAACTGTATACTAAAAGTTTAAGAACATCTCAGGGAAGGATACATGCCTACCCCAGGACAGTGGTAGGTGGGTGGGTAAAGGTATGAGAATGAAGTAAGGCTTTAGATATATCTGATATGTTTCTTTTCTTTTTTAAATATAATTTTATTGACTTCAGAGAGGAAGAAGGAGAGAGAGATAGAAACATCAATGATGAGAGAGAATCATTGGTTGGCTGCCTCCTGTATGCCCCCCACTGGAGATTGAGCCTGCAACCTGGGCATGTGCCCTTGACCAGAATCGAACTGGGACCCTTCAGCCAAAGCTCTATCCACTGAGCCAACTGCTAGGGCTGTTTTATTTCTTAACAAAATAAAGTGAGCTAAGGCAAGCAGAGCAAAATGTTACCATTTCTTAAATCTGAATGGTACACATTGGCATCTATGAAATTATATTTTTTTTATTCTATTGAGTTTAGAGAGAGGAAAGGAGAGAAAAAAAAACATTAATGTAAGAGAGAAATCAGTTGCCTCCCATAGGCTCCCCAGGAATTGAACCTGCAACTTTGGTATGCGCCCTGACCAGGAATCGAAATACGTCCCATTCTGGAGTACTGAACAACTCTCCAAGCAAGTGAGCTACCCGGCCAGGGCCCACATTATTTTCTGAACACTACATATAATTTACCATTTTAACAGAGTAATATTTTAAGAATAAAGTAAAAACTCAGTTTATTTAGGGAAAGTATTATAACAATGTGGAGAAAATATTAACATTGTCACCACCTACTCAAGCCCTTACTGTGTTGCGTGTCTTTAACAGATATAGATGAATGCACTGCAGGAACACACAACTGTAGAACCGACCAAGTGTGCATCAATTTACGTGGCTCCTTCGCCTGTCAGTGTCCTCCAGGCTATCAGAAGCGAGGAGAGCAGTGTGTAGGTAAGTACAACAGTGCAGTAAGCAACACCCTATCTTGAGCAGCATCTTAATTATTAAACCTCAGGCATTCAAAACAAAGCACTTGTATTTATTTGGAGAATGATAGCCAGCAACTGCTTATCCTTTCATTGTATGCCAATCCATTTCCCACATTCACAAGAACAAACTAGCCTTACAAGTTTAGCATATTCTGGCAATCAAAGTGTTGGTTTCGTGTTAGAATAAGCAAAAGCAGAAATTTGGAGTATGAATGAGACCATAAAAGCAACTGAGCAAATAATTTTAAATTATCTATTTGGGGATCATAGCACTTAAACACTGATGATACAGGCTTCGTTCACCGGTTTTATAGCTTATAAGGCAGATGGTGAGGTTCAAACCCCATCATCACTCTTAACTCACATTGAGGACTTGGGTGAGTTACTGACATTCTCTATCTCACTTTCTCACTGTGTACTACAGAGATAATACTAGCCCCTGTTTCAGAAGCTCATGTGTGGGAATGCTGAGAACAGTGCCTGGTCTTGGACTGAATAGCTGTGTGCTATCATTATGCAGTGAGTTAACATACTAAGCATTCTTTATGCTGCAGGTGCAGTGCTAGGAATGCAAAGCCAAGTGTAGCATGTATCTCTACTTGAGAGTTCTACTTGAGCTCCCTCCAGGCAGGGCCCAGGTCTGGTTTGTGTTATTACTGTCTTCTTAGTCCCCGAAGAGTGCCCACCACAGAGATGCCCTAGGCATCTTTTTTGAATGACTGTCAGAACACAGTGTGGGGAGGCCAACTAGCAAATAAGAGGTAAACTAAAGTGTTCTGTGCTTGTTTGTGAGGCATGAAACTCATTAATTGACCCCCTCTGTCCATTGATTTACATGCCATCTCTTACCAGAAAAGTGAAGAGTCCTTATTTTCTCTTCGAAACAGAGGATTGGGATGTGGGGACAGACAACCAGCATCCATTTTCTCCAAAAAAAATGTGAGCTGTTGATGTCAAGATGTCAACACTGAGCTCCTCATGGGCCCCAGTGGAGTTCTGCCTGCCACGGGCTGTTCCTAGACGCTGGGGTTACTGCCCAGCCTCCGAGGAAGGCCCAGGGTTTGCAGTGACTGAAGCTGTGATTTAGGAGAAGATTGTGTGGAAAACTTCACAGACGCCAAAGTTTTGCCCAGTGTTTTAGTCAGGAAAATAAACAAAAGCATAAAAAGTACAGAAAAAGAACTAACCCAAACGATTGTGGGAAGAACCAAAGAGAATGGAACATATGGTTATAGCTCTTTATGAGATGATAGGAGGAGACATTCTTAAATTCAATCTAATCATGTGGCATTTCTCCCACCCATAGAACCAATTCTACATTCCTCAGCAGAGCATACAAGGTCTTCCTTAACCCGATCCTTGCCTAGCTCTGAACACCCTCTCCCATCAAAACAAACAAAAAACTGTCCAACTTTACCCTACTACTTATAATTCCCCACAATAAAATACATCACATAGAGTCACATTTTAGTGCCTTTACATAAGCTCTTTCAGCACCAGGAACATGCACTCTTGGCAAACTCCTATTTAACTCTCAAATCCCAACTCAGGGTAATTTCCTCTGGGAAGATGTCCATGACCCACCCCAATATAGTCACTCCCTCCTCTCTACTCTTACTTAGTATTTTGATGGACCATTTTGTAAAAATTCTATCTGTTGCAGATTAATTTTTCTACAAACTACAATAATAATGTGATAACATCAAATTGCTATTCCTAAATAACTACTCTAATTTTCTATACTTATTGGTTGCAGTCTGGTCCAAATAGTGCATGGACCAGCAATGGTCAGCAGGCCACACTTTGAGTAGCACAGTGTTCCTTCTGTCCATTATGCAACTTTCTATTTATTATTTTATTTATGTAGTAATCTGTTTTCATGATCACCTTCCATAGCAAATAGGAATAGAGCATATGTATATTGATCATCATTATAGACCTGCAGTATTAAACACAATGCTAGCAAATAACAATGGTTTGACGAGTGTTTACTGGTTTTAAGACACACATCATTTATTCATCAAATATTTATTGAGGGCTGACTGTGTGCCAGGAACTGTCCTAGGTGCTGGTACATTATGGTGAACAAACAGATTGTACAGAATCACAGCCTTTGTGGAGCTATTAGAAAGTACCATTTATATAAATTAGCTATCGAGACTAGCACCTGGGTATAATACTGGGTACTAGGAAGAATTATGATAAAATTGCTTTTAGTTGGTACGATGTTACCATTCATTCAACTAATGTTTACTGAGTACCTACTATTGCCAGACCCAGGTATTAAGTATATAGCAGTGAATAGACAAAAAGCAAATAAACAACATAATGCAATTTCAAGGTATATCAACGGCTACAAAGAAATGCAAAGCTGTATAGGGGAATAGATAATGCAGAAGAAGCTATTTTATATGGATGTTCATAGATGGTCTTCCTGAGGTCATTTGAGATACCTAAATAAATAATGCGGGGAAACCAGGTGTATATCATTATCATTTGTTTTAATACTCAAGCTAAATCAAATAGATTTTGCAACTTATCAACAATAGCTCCACTTGTTTATACCCGTTTTGTGTAAGGAAATTTGCCTACATTATGTCATGTAATCCTTCCAACAGTTCTACCACAATGTTGTACTATTTCTTACAGAGGAGGAAAAAGGAGCACCAAAAGATTAACACCAAGCTAGTAATTGCCAGAAGACTCAAACTCAGATTACTCTGAGGCCACTTGAGCACAATGCCTTCTACACTATTTGTTATTAAAGTACCAGAAGAGCTCAGCATAATGTTTTGGTTTTGCTTTTTTCTTACGATAAGATAGTATCACTACACAGTCTTAAATTGTGCATGCATAATTTTAATTGTTCATTTAAATTACACATGCCATGTTGGAGTTGTCACAAGGTGTAGAGTCATGAATCAGTGAAATTTTATTATGCTTCTAAGATGCTAATCCTACTCTGCAAGTTCTCAATTGAGCACTTTATAGTTGGAAATATTTATATGAGGACACGGGCTGGAACGCTTAATCAATGTGTCAGAAGGGCACTTTTGTTTAGCACCCTATTCCTTCCACCATGTTCTTTCATTTGATTCTCACACAAACATCATAAGATACACATAGTAAGCATTACTATCCACATTTTACAAAAGAAAAACCAAGATATTGAATCTTTAAATGACTTCACCAAAGCCACCAACTAAACAGCAGTTTATCCCTTCTTTCTCTTGGTTTTATGTGCCTCACTTGAGTCTTCAGTAGTTCTTTTTCACTTTTTTCATTAGAAATAAACAATAAGCTTTTAAATCCTCAAACATATATATATGAAATAGTCTTAATTACTTTTCTCTCTTTTATATCTCAAACCACCCAGCCAGGTTTATGAAGTCTTTGTCTGAACATCTCATTTAACTGCAGATTGCAGACCAAAGTATATTTACCCTAATTAATAATAATGATACTAATAATAATTACTACTCTTAAAATATCTTCTCTAGATAGTTTTTCTAGGTAATTTTTCCTGAGAAGTTGAGAACAAACAGCTGTGGATAATCAATAATATAGTTTTCTTTCTGTGTGTGTGTCCGGTAACCTAGATATAGATGAATGCGCTATGCCTCCATATTGCCACCAAAGATGTGTGAACACGCCAGGATCATTTTATTGCCAGTGCAGTCCTGGGTTTCAGTTGGCAGCCAACAACTATACCTGCGTGGGTAAGCCTTTTGAGAACCCCCATCCTGACTAACTTCTGACTTAAAAAAAAAAATGCCACATTGCAGTTTTCTATGTTCTTGAGTCAACTGGTTTCCATCAACTTCCCTGAATAAAGCTGAAAAGACAGTAACCAATCTGCTTCTTAAAATACATCAAGATGTGAATGAAAAACTTTGTTAAACTTGGTTTTAGTTCTCCACCGTGGGGGTATAAAAAGAAAATACAGATCCATTGATATGCACACACCAATAAGTCAACAATGTGTGATATAAAAGCTAAAGGTGCCAATGGGGTTACTGCAAGTTGAAGTACATAAACTTTTCAGTGAAAGTGCATTTGATTTTTACATGCTTCTTCTTCCCTTTCAGAATGCAATGTCACGGCACACAATTTTAAGATTGACATGACATGGAAAGAATCTAGTGCCGGAAAAATGCCCTTTTTACAATATTTTCAGTGCCTTAGAGTATTGCAAAACTCTGTATGAGTCTCAAAGGCTTATGTTATAATTGTAATGGAATTTAACAGAGCCCATTTAAAAAGTAATAAATAGCACAGATAAATCTTCACTGCAGCATGCTGAGAGACCATATCAGTACGAGTGTCTTACTAGTATATCAATTATTTATAGACTTGGCATTTTGCATTTGAACAACAATAAAAGAAAATAGATACTGGAATGTATGTTTATTAGAATCATTAAATTCTTTTGGAAAGATTCATCAAACCCCCAAATAACTGTCATTCCCAGAAAAAAAAATTTCTGGTATTTCTAAAAGAAGTATACAACAGATGTTCGAAGTTGTTCCAACAAATATGAAGCCTGAATGGATGTTCTCCAATGAGCTTCTGCAGGGCAAAGAATCCACCGAGGGAATTATTCACTTATCAAATGACACGGGTACCAAAGATCAAGGATATGTTTAAAGACACAGATATATAAATTCATATAACTTTTCCTTTCAGATATAAATGAATGTGATGCCAGCAATCAATGTGCTCAGCAATGCTACAACATTCTTGGTTCATTCATCTGTCAGTGTAATCAAGGATATGAGCTAAGTAGTGACAGGCTCAACTGTGAAGGTAAAATATTTTCCAAATAATTTTTAATAAGACTCTTGATTGCTATTCTTTTATTTGATTGCTAGAGGCCCAGTGCACAGATTCGTGTACCAGTGGGGTCCCGTGGCCTGGCTTGTGCCCTCTCACAACCCGGGACCCCTTGGGGGATGTCGGACTGCCAGTTTTGCCCCCCTATCCCTGAACTAGGCCTCTAGTATGCATATAAGATCTTTGGTTAATCTCTTCCCACTCTCCCCTTCCCCCCTTCCCTCTGAGATTCATATGTTCCATATTTTCATGCCTATGCATCTACCCCCTGGTGGTCAGTGCACATCATAGCTACCAGTCGAATGGTTTGACAGACACTTGGGCTTTTATAGAGAGAGATGTACCTTTTTATGAAAACAAATTTTTATCCATGAAAATTCTATTCTAAAGTCCAGTTAATTCAATTGCCACATTGACTTTTTAGTATGTTATTAAAAAAAAGGAGGAGAAAAGATGACTGAAGTATTAAATGCAAAGGGGGGTGTCTAATAATTAGAAGGGTGTGCTAGTGTCTTGCTTCTCAAAGTGTGATCCAACAGCAAACAGCATCCGCACCTCCTGGGAATTTGTGAGAAATGCAGAATCTCGGGCCCCAACCCAGATCCACTGAGTCAAATTCTGCATCTAATTCTGGATGACTGTACACATTTAAGTTAGAAAAATGCTGATTGCCTATTAGAAGCATTAGAGACCTGGCCCCAAGTCTTATTCCTGCCAGTGTGCAACTTGGGCACATATCTTAAGTCACTTTGCACATAAGTACAAAGGCCCATTTAACGAAAGGGATGACCTTCAGAGCCCATTGCACACGTGTTACAGTGTATAATTTAAAAGGCATAAGACATCCTGAGGGAATGCCATCCACAGTTGATATCCCTGACTTCTTTGTGGACCTTCCCTGCTTTACTTGGGTAAAGAGAGGCCTTGCATCATGCTGCTGTGCTCAAAACCAAAAGGGCCTGAATCTGGACACCTGCCTCTACCATTCTAAGTAAACAATAAGGGAATCACCATTGAGAAATGCAAAGCATTCATTCCATGAAGTCCAGACCCTATTGAAGCTAGCACTTGAAGTTCAAAGCTCAGATGAATGTGGGAGCAAAGCCACCCAATTTCTGAGAATGTAATTGTGAATCTGCATAATGGGTGGGTCTGCAGACATGAAAAGCAGCAATCATAAGCCAGATCATTCATTCTGCTTAATTCTTATGGTTAAGTCCAGGATTTGACAAACTGTCATCAAGTTTGAGTAAAATTAATGGTAAAACAAACTCTTTGTTCTAATGAAGTTCTAGAGCAGTGGTCGACAAACTGCAGCTCGTGAGCCACATATGGTTCTCTGGCCCCTTGAGTGTGGCTCTGTGTTAAAATCACTTCAAAATAGATTCGCCCAGGCCGAAAACCGACTTCTGCGCATGGACCATGAAGTTTCAATTGTACTGTACATGCGCGCCCACCCGTGATATTTTGTGGAAGAGTCACATTCAAGGGGCCAAACAGCCGCATGTGGCTCATGAGCAGTGGTTTGCCAACCACTGTTCTAGAGCAATGATTTTAAATGGTGTGCCATAGCACACTGATGTGCCATAAGAAGTTTTAAATCGTGCAATATTTGACTATTTAGTGAGGAGTACGACCTCTTTTCCCTTAAATTATCAAATTTAAAAATGACAAAAGCCAACATAACAATAGCTATCCAATATGAATGAGTCAAAATTATACCTATTTTTATCAGATCAGTAAAAAATATAATATATATTTTTGGTGTGCTGGTTTGTTTAGTGATTCATTTATGTGTGCCATGAGATGAAAATGCTGAAAGTCACTGTTCTAGAGGAAATGAGCTGATATTGTTATAATTTGCCCTTGAGTTTCTTCCAAATATTGTATTTTTGTTTCAGAGTTTGCATTGGTTTTACTCTATTACATCTAAAAAAAAATTATCAAAATAGTTTTTCAATTCGGTGTCCTTTCTCTTCTTTGATTCAACAGACATTGATGAATGCAGAACCTCAAGTTACCTGTGTCAGTATCAGTGTGTCAATGAACCTGGGAAATTCTCGTGTATGTGCCCTCAGGGATACCAAGTGGTGAGAAGTAGAACATGTCAGGGTAAGTTTGTTTTTGTATCTGCTATGTTCAGTTAACCGGGAAGAGCAGGGGGTAATATAGGATTCTCTATCATAGACTTTTCATTTTTTTCCATCCTGCATATACAATTTGAACTATCCCCCACCCCTGTTCATTATGAGATATGCACATCTCCTAAAGAGAGTATTCGGGGGGGGCGGGGAAGGGGGAAGAGGTTATCTATACTAATAAAAGGTTAATATGCTAATTAGACCTGGCTGACCAGCCATCTTCCGGACATCCGACTTCTTACAGACAAAACCATGGTGGCAGGGGGCCAAGGCAGAGGCTGTTAGGGGTGATCAGGCTGGCAGGGGAGCAAGCAGTTAGGGGTGAGATCAGGCCAGTGAGGGGGAGCAAGCAGTTAGGGGCACGATCAGGCTGGCATGGGGGAGGACAGTTAGGGGGCAATCAGACTAGCAGGGGAGCACAGTTAGGGGGTGACCAAGCCAGCAGGGGAGGGCAGTTGGGGGACATCAGACCAGAAGGGGAACAGTTAGGTGGTGATCAGACTGGCAGGGGAGTGGTTAGGAGCCAGAGATCCTAGATTATGAGAGGGATGTCCAACTGCCCAATCCCTGCAGCCAGACATCCCCCAAGGGGTCACAGATTGGAGAGGGTACAGGCCAGGCTGAGGGACAACCCCCTATGTGCTGTGATGAATTTCATGCACTATGCCTCTAGTTTACTATAAATACCTACTTTCCTTGAAATTTAGAGTAATTGTTTTTCTTTCTTAAAATATAAATAATTTTAACAAAACACTGCTATTCCTTCTATGTAGCCTACATAATCTATATGATGTGTCTTCTAAGCACCCGCCAGAAGGATTTATTAAAATATATCATCATGAATTTTAGTCCAGAACATAAACCTAATATGTGTGTTAGGGATATCTTATACCAGTCTAGATTCTCTAAAATACAAAGATAATAAATTGAGAAGTAGTTTGGCTACTGAAAAAGTCAGCCTCATGTATATGTTAAAATGTACTTGAATTATTTGGCAAAAAAAACTATCAATTCAAAAATAATTAATGTTCTTGGGCCCAGATTTAAAATAAACATTCAGGTGATCTTCACACATACACATAAGTGGAAGAAGCAGCTCTCTATATGGTATGATTGCAGTCAGAGTGTCTCCAGAAGATCTGAAAATATGTACCTCTTCTCCTACCATCAATGATGCATGTAGCTTGACAGGAAAATACTGCTCAGATGAAACAAAAAATGTAGATAATCCTGGAAAATCTAGTACAAACACATTCACATAAAGCAATGAGAGAATGAAAAAAAATGGCTGAACTTGAAGACATAAATCTGTTTGAGTCTTAGTTGTACTACATTCTATTGATAAAATCTTGAACAAATTATCAAACTTCTCTGAGTCTCAGCTTTCTTATTTGGAAAAGAAGTTGAGGGATGAAACAGAATAAAAATTACTTGTAAAGTATAAACACTAAATAATTCAACAAATTTTTATGAAAGTTACCTAACAATGTAAATGACCAGTAGCAAATCTTCTCTACGGAGTCCTTTTTAATCAAAATAAAGAGAGAGCACACAGTAATCAAATCTTGTTAAGAAAGGAAAAGATTAAGGAAAGGAGACACAGGGGATTCTCAGTCTATATCATTTTTTACAGAAAAAAATACTAACTCAGAGGAACATCTATTGACCTGGATTTTTTAGTATGCATATGATCATTCAATTACTTTCCAACCACCAAATATGAGCACAATTAGAATGTCATTCACTATACAACGAACATCTTTATACCTCTTTCCAAGTTACTAAAGACTGTAATGTTAATTGTGGAAAAACACTGCATTCCAATGATTTTACTTTCCGAACCCTAATTGAGACTTTTAACATGAAGATTGCATGCTGAAAAATGTTAGCCACTGGGACATCTTAACTTTTCCCTGTAGTCCTTCAAACAAATGTCTATGTGTTTCTTATCATAAATGGATTTGATAGTCAGCAAAAGACAGAAGCAAATTAATGTACATCAGAATCTTACCTGTCTAGTCTGTATATTTGAAAACATTAATATCTGTTATGATTAAAGGGGAAAATGCACTGAAACTTTTTTTTTTGCACTGAAACTTTAAATAAGGGCTTCATGAATGTTATATCCTTTAAAAAAATTATTGATTGATTTTAAAGAGAGAAAGAGAAACATTGATTTGTTTTCCACTTACTTATGCATTCATTGGTTGCTTCTTATATTTACTGTGACCAGAGTTTGAACCTGCAACCTTGGCGTATTAGGAAGACACTCTAATGAACTGAGTTACTCAGCCAGAGCTAGATGAATGATGTTGTGTCTTGAAGATATACAGCTTCAGAATGTTTGGCTAAGCCAAAACGTGTGTGTGAGTGTGATTGTGTGTGTGTGTGTGTGTGTGTGTGTGTGTGTGTAAGAGAGATTATTTTAAAGTACAAAGCAATTGGTTTCCCTCACCAAAACCATCTCTTCCCCATCTCATCCACATACTAAAGTAAAACTGAAAGAGCTAGAATTCTTATATTCCTCCACAAGGCTTATTTTGAGGGTGAGATAACTTTCCTCATTTCCATGGTCTTGCAAAAATACAAATGGGTTGGTGGTGAGGAGTAAAAAATATGAGAGTGAGAGAGGAAGACAGAAAAATAGACACAGAGAGAATATACGTAAACATAGACAAGCTTGAAATTACCTTGCAGTGGAAAGTTGCCTTTCACTAACTATATGAGCTTGGATCAGCTACTTAACCCTTATTTGTCTTTCCTCCATGTCAAGTAGAGATAATGCCTTTCTCACCTATCTCCATGCGATTTGTGTGAGGAGTGACTTAGTTCAATTTAATATTTCTTAAAAATTCAGGTGCCCCCAGTGCATTAATTCTAGGTGATGAAGAGATATAAAGATGCATTTGATAGCCCTTGACCTTGAGGAGTTTACAAGCTAGTAGAAGGATGAAGACAAATATGCATATTTCAATAATGCAAAGCAGAAAGTAATAAAGGTCCAAAAAGAAAAACATGAGGGATGAAAATTCAGAGTGGAGAAAGAGATCATATCCCATCAATTAGCCTATGTCTGGCTTGCAGCAAGGATTCAATAAATTACTTGTGGGATGAGTAAATTAACAGATGAAAATATCCAATTGTGGGTGAAGAATGATTCAGAAAAAGGCTTATATTGGATAGAATCTGAATCACTATTCAAATGCAAAGGGCAATAGGCATTAATAGGAATGTAGATATTAATATAATTGTTGTTGTCATTAATATAATAGCTCTGTAGTGAAACTGTTCTCCCAGACATTATTATCTGGGAGCCCCTAATTCCTAAGTCTAAAACCAGTCTTTGTGCAGTGTGGCCTGTCCACAACCCTCCTTCCCAGGACTCTCTCCCCACCTGCCTTTTCCAGCGTTGCCTCTCACTACTTAATTCCTCTTCTGTCTGTATATAGCTATGCTCTACAAGGTGCTTCTTGTGCTTTGCTTTCTCTGGAGAGTATAATCCACTCCCAGAGAACCAACTATCCACCAGCATGCTATTGCTTACTGAAACCACATCTCTAGCCTCTACCTTTCTCCAAAGATTCTGAGACTGTGAACTGCTGAATTAAGTGCAATAAACTGAAATAAGTGCAATCTCTTATCTAAACACAAATTAAACAAAAAAATAAATAAATAAAAACTTAAAAACAAATTAAACACTATCCAAACCCTTCCTTACAAACCTGAACCTACCACTTATACAATTTACTTAGATCACTAAACTCTTTGACCCCTATGTCTCTACAGATATAAATGAGTGTGAGACCACAAACGAATGTCGGGAAGATGAAATGTGTTGGAATTATCACGGCGGCTTCCGTTGTTACCCACGCAATCCTTGTCAAGATCCATATGTGCTCACATCGGAGAAGTAAGAAAAATAAAAACTTCAGAAAGTAAAAATGTTCTGGTATGACCAAGCCAAAAGGTTGAATATGTTTGTTTGCCGTTGCAGCCGATGTGTTTGCCCAGTATCGAATGCAGTATGCCGAGAACTACCCCAGTCCATAGTCTACAAATATATGAGCATCCGGTCTGACAGGTCTGTGCCATCAGACATCTTCCAGATACAGGCCACAACTATCTATGCCAACACCATCAATACTTTTCAGATTAAATCTGGAAATGAAAATGGAGAGTTCTACCTAAGAGTAAGTACCCTGAGGGCAGCCTTTGCTATTGAGAAAGTTTCAGGTCTGTTGTTGTTGTTGTTGTTGTTTGGTAGTAGTCACATGGAAGGAAAGCTACCATTTAAAGTGTCTTTATGTGCAGATATTGTCTCAGGCCTTCCTGTGTGCATTAATTCATTCAATTCTCTTATTAACATCGTTAAGTATTAATTATGTACCTCCGTTGTTTTTTACAGAAAAGTGAGACTCAAAGAGATTAAATAGCTTCTTTAAACTCATTCAAATAACAAGTTGTAGATTCTAATAGAGTGGTGTGTGACCACCAAAACACAAGCCTACATACACACACATATACACACACACACACACACACACACACACACACACATGCTTCAAAAAGATACCAAAAATTAGTGATAGTTATTTAATTGTACGTAGAAAAAAAATAATTCCTGGAGGGCTTTTCAAAAACCAGGAATTTTTTATTGTTACGGAAGTATTTACATTTTTATAAAACTAAAACCTGGAACCTCAAAGAAGTAATTCCAACAACCTGCAACATATGTGTCAATAATTGTACCTCTCTCTTTTTTTAAATATATATATTTTTTCTTTCAGAGAGGAAGAAGAGGGAGAGCTAGAGATAGAAACGTCAATGATAAAAGAGAATCAAACCCGGCACCCTTCAGTCCGCAGGCCAATGCTCTACCCACTGAGCCAAATCAGCTAGGGCAATAATTGTACCATTGTTGCAAACCTTCAGGCAGACAATTTGAGGTTACCATTGTGTTTTCCCTTTTTTTTTCGTTGCCTGTTTGAAATCTTTCTCTGAATTTTTCCATTTCTTTTTGCAATGTCTTCTGGGATATTTTTGCTTCCCCACTCCCCTGCCTCTCTTCCTTTGAACTTGCTCTTAGCACCTCCTCAATCCCTCCAATAGATTCCAAGTAGATCTCCCTGACTTCAGTCTTCCAACTCCTCCCCACCTCCCCTGCAAACTCTCAGTAAGAACATTAGGTTAAAAGTCTGCCATACTTTAAATACGATTCACCACTGCATGTGAAAATGATGGCACCCCACCAAGCAGTTTACAGTGTTACGGTAACTGTTTCACACTAAGGATGTTATTCATCCAATTACAATTTTCTCAAAACTCCTTTGGGCACTCTTCATTTTTAATCAAATTTTAAAGTCAATATTTCAGTCCGAGAATATGAAAAGTAAATTGGGAAATTCATCCTTGTGATAAAGTTTACAGATTTTTAATGTTTACACATTTATGCTGTTCTTTGCTATATTAAGTTTCCTTCCAGTTCCAGAATTATGTGATTCTGTTTCTTTGCCAGTAAACTAGAAATGATTAATTTCTCATGACCAAGTTCTGAAGAGAAAAAACAAACTCAAAATACAATCTATTATTATTCAATTTTCTCACAACTAAGAATAAATTTCTGTAACATTTGATGTTTTAAATTTGAGATAGAGTAGATAATGTAAGTTTACTCTAAATGAATTTCATGCAGTCCAGATAATACCAATTTAATAATTCTAGCCCAAACAAATTATATTATTTGTAACTCATGGCAATAAAATAGGTTCATCTAAAAATCTTCTTTAAAAATAATTTCCCATTTTGAACTCTTCAGCTATAATTTAAGAAAATAAAATTTCCTAGCAGAATCAACAAACAGTGAAGTAAAGTTTCAGCATGTTTTTCTCCTTGCAATAAACATAGTCCTTTAAAAGTTTTATGATTCATATCAGTGCATTTATCGACATGATGTTTTCAAATATACTTAGTGTTTTTTCCAAGTAAAATCCTTTTTTTCTCATGAATGATCTAAAACAACATCAATTTTTATAATCCTAGAGTTAAATAGTATTAAATTATTTGAAACAAAAAACTTTTGAAAATAAAAAGACATTTCAAGACTATTTCTTATCACATAATTCAAAAAGTATTTGGATGGATCAAAATCTCTCCACTGAAATTCCACTTGTGAGGAGTGCATTTAATGCATAATACTCAATTAGCAGACCTTAATTAAGCATCTACTTTTTGCTCAGCACCATGCTAGGTGCATGTAATACATCATTCCTTATTTCAAAGAGATTTAAACATTTGGTAAAAGTTAACATCTAGAAAAAAAGGAAAAAAAAAAAAGAGGAAAGTGTGAATTTAAATCTGTGGTCCAATACATCAAAGAATTAATGTGGGCTGGAATAGTCAAATAATGTTTCTTGATAGTCACAAGACTGGACCTGAATCTTGAAAGGGACTGTAGTAAACAAGATTTTATTTATATTCCTTTGGAAGGAATGTTGAGAAAACCTTCTTCCCTAGAAAAGGGGACATATTGTAAAGAAGTACTACATGAATTGGAGGCAGCATACCATCCTCCTCTCATCCTACCCAATAAATCTATCCTCCTTTTCTGAGCTTTGTTTTTTCTTCATTGCCCTCTCAACATTTGTCTATGTTATCCACTAGACTGTGAGTATAATGAGAGCAAGACTTTAGCTGTCCACTCCTCTATGCACAGCACATAGAATGCTTTAAATATTTTTAAAATTTTTAAATATTTTAAGTGAGTTTAATTCAATCAATACTTTCAAGATATACTGTTACCTACAAGGGGCAAACACCATGTTAGGTCCAGAGACACAACAGTGAATAAAACTAAGCCAATTTCTGCTCCAGTGGAGCTTATAGTCAAGATGTCAAACAAGTTTGCTGAGTATTACAACTAAGTATTGCAAGTTGCTCATAAAAGCATAACAAGTCAACCCCTATCCAAGACAGGAGTGGTCTGTGATCCTCTCAGCAGAAGTTGATTTAAAATGAAGACTAGAAATTAGAGACCAGCAAATGGAAGAAATGAAAAGAAAACCAGTTGGTCTGGAATTCTAAGCACTATAAACAGAGTGGCTTGAGAGGATCCTGGAGAGATAGATGAACAAGGCCTAAACCACACAATGCTTTACAGATCATATTAAGGGTTTTAAGAAAAGGCATTACTATCAATTTTTCATGTTTAAAAGGTTGTGGCTATACTGTAGAACCTAGATTGTAGTAAAGCACGAATGGAAATGGAGAAACCAGTAAGTAGTTCAAGAGATGGGAGACTAGGTTTGTAGCAGTGAGTCAAATAAAATAAAATAAACTTATGAAGATGTAGGAAGAACTACATGACTTGTTAACCCATTTGCTATTGGGAGATGGAAGAGAAGGCAGCAGCAAGGATAACCTCCAAGTTTCTGTTGTAACAGTAGATGGTGATGCCATTTACTAACATAGTGGAGGAGCCAGTGTAGAGAGGAAGGTGAGGAGTTCAATTTGGACATATGGAGTCCTGGCCCTCATGAGGCATCCAAGTATAGATGAGTAGAGTGTTGGATATGTGAGCTTAGAATTCAAAGTACAAACATTTGTCACTGACAAATACATGATAATTGAACACATGGCTACGGATTTAATAACTTGTGGAGAGTGTGTAAAGAATGGGTGAAATCAATCAGAAAAGAAGAGAACCTGGGATAAGGAGAGGCTAGATTATGAAGAGTTTCCTTTCCGTAACTTGATTTGGACACTAATATTATCATCCAATATCTTAGCCATCTCATCCCCCATGATGTTTGGCTTTATGCCATTCTGCTATCAACCCCATGGTCACAGACTGGACTTAGTTTACCATTCAGAACACTTTCATATCAGAATCATAGTCTCCAGTGACACACTTAATGGCTGGCTCCTCTCTCATGCCCTCATTCCCACTCTATCTTCTCTTCATACCCAAAGTGATGCTAGTCCCCTGATTCCTCAGCCTCCAATTTCTTTCAGTCTATCAACTATTTGGTGGACCCTTGAAGTACTCTGTCACCAACACCTCAGCTTCCTGACAAGCAACCTGGATCAGTCCCATAATCCACATCTATTTTAATTTATACCCAGCTTGTCAGAACAGATTGGTAATACCATAAGTTTTTAACTTCAGACGGGTCCTCAACAGCCCTAATATTTTCTTTTATTTCTTCTTTTCAGCTCTTGATTTCAAATGTTCCCACACTCTTTAAATCATTATATCCATCATTTTCAGCTGCCTCTCTCTTCCCCCCATTCCTGACCACGGTTCTTAAAGCTCAATCTGCAATTATGGTCTCCGCTTTCTCACTTCCTATCCTCACATCTCTATTGTCTATTCCCACTACCTTGATAAAATTTCTCTGGAAAAAAGCCAACACCAACATTCATACTGCTAACTCCAGGGCTACATTTTTCACTTCCAGTCACCCTCAGCCTCTCCTTCTCAATTAGACACTGCTGGCCACTCATTTGTTTTCCATTCAATCATCTATTTCTTCACAGCTTTCTTCAATGCTTCTCCTCTTCCCACTCCTTAAATGTTGGCCTCTGTCAGAGCCAGCTTTATCACAGATATATTATCTCCCTTGGTTCAATACACTCAGTGAAGTGACTGCTAAATCTTAATCCACTGTCTCTAACCCTGCCCTCCTCTTGGTGTTCAGATTCACACATTTATTTACCTGCCCCTCCAGCTTCATCTCCCTCTACTCTTCAGCACTATCACATACTTTATCAAAATAAAATTGCATCTTCTTCTGAATATATTCCAAAACTTCCATTTATTCTGGGTGGCTCTCAGTCATTCAAAAGTCTTCTCTTGGTTCTTGAGGGTCCCTCTTCATACATTCCTTGCATTTCTGCATAAAAATTAGCATTTGCTACATTCTATTGAAATTACTATTTACATGTCTGTTCATCTACTGGAATGTAAATTTTGAGAAATGAAAGATGACAACTTTTTCACCAGTTCAAAAATCATCAGATTCTCACCCAGCAGGCGTGGCTCAGTGGTTGAGCTTTGACCTATCAACCAGGAGGTCATGGTTCAATTCCCAGTAGGGGCACATGCCCAGGTTGTGGGCTCAAGCCCCTGTGTTGAGTGTGCAGGAGGCAGCCAATCAATGATTCTCTCTCATCATTTATGTTTCTATCTCTCCTTCTTCCTTCCTCTCTGACATCAATTAAATATACATATATATTTATTTATTATTGTGTTATTTACTGTCTAAAGTTTTACATATGTCTCCATTTCTCCCCCCACCCCCCGCCATTGAACCGCCCCACCCCACCCCTCCAGCCATTACCATCCTGGGCATGCCCCGAATGTCCCAGTATCTATGTCCATTGGTTATGCTAATAGGCATGCATATAAGCCCTTTGGTTGCTCTCTAACCTATTCCCTTCCCTGCCATTTGTCTCTTGATCTATTCTTGCTCATCAAGTTATGTAGATAATTATGTCCCACATGTGATATTTATCTTTTTTAAAAATTATTGGATTCTCACCTGAACTCCAGTCTCTATAAAGACTGAAATACTAAATAAAAGTGAAAAGAATATTAACATAGAGGGCAAATAGAAAACATAGAAAAAAGCAGGTCCCTTCCTTGGAATTGATGACTGTGTGGACAAGGATAAGGCCCAAGAAGGGATGGAACCAAGAAAAGACTAAGGAATGACTTTTATCCCACCATTAAAATGCTTCCCCTAATTCTTCTAGGAGGTATACTCCCAAAAGGATAAAAAACTTCAAGTCAAGAAAAATTATTTTCTCCCTTCCTCTTTTTTCTTTTATTTTAGCAAACAAGTCCTGTAAGTGCAATGCTTGTACTGGTGAAGTCGCTATCAGGACCAAGAGAATACATCGTGGACCTGGAGATGCTGACAGTCAGCAGTATAGGAACCTACCGCACAAGCTCAGTGTTAAGATTGACAATAATTGTAGGGCCATTTTCATTTTAATCTTTTAAAAGAGTTCACTTGGGGCATTTAAATCAGCCAAAGAATATTGTTACCTTAAAGCACTATTTTATTTATAGATATATCTAGTACATCTACATTTATATACTGTACACTCACCAATAATTCAAACAATTACACCATGGTATAAAGTGGGCATTTAATCTGTAAAGATTCAAAGTTTGTCTTTATTACTGTATGTAAATTAGACATTAATCCACTAAAGTAGTCTTCTGCAGGAGAGCTAAGCATACTTTATCTGGTGAAACTTGGATTCTTTTTTTTTTTTTTTTTGTAAAAGTGGGACCACGCAAAGATCATCTTCTGTGGTGCTTAAGCTCCACTGAGTCTCATAAGAATGCAGCCATCATAACATTGAATAGAATGAATGAGGTTTTTTATAACTCCTTTGTAAGAAAATGGAAAAAGTCAATAAAGATATATTTCTTTAGAAAATGAGACTCTACCACATTTGTGTTTATTTTCATGATCAGTCTTAACATGGTTATTTATTACATAGTAATAAATTATTATTGTAGGATATTTTTATTTTGTCAGAAACTTTTAATTATGAATATAAAAAAAACACCAGTAAGCAAAAAATCCCAAAATAAATAAGGTATTCCCTAGAAAATTATTATATTGAGAAATCTACAGGGAGGAGATAAGAAAACAAATTCTTTCTAAATCACATTGGAGTTGACCTGAAGACACAAATTCAGTATCTTATTTTGAGTTGCTAGGACAAATTATAGACTGGGTGGCTGGTAAAAAATCAGCATTTATTTCTCATAGTCTGGAGGCTGGCAGCTCAAGATTTGGGTGCCTGCATGTTCAAGTTCTGGTGGAATGCCTCTTCTAGGTTGAAGACTCATAACCTATCATGGTAGAAAGAGAGAGGGAGAGCTCTCTTGTATTCTTTTTATAAGAACACTAATTCCATTAATGAAGCTTTCACCCTCATGACCTAATGACCTCCAAATACCTCTCCTCCGATTATCATTACATTGGAAGTTAGGATTTCAACATAAGAATTTTGAGAGGACACAAATATTCATTCCATAACACACAGTAAATATAATAACATTCCTGAATTCAGGAATTCCTCAAGATGTGGAGCAAAATGAAGAAAAGTTATTTTAATGAAGAAGTTTTAATTTCTGAATAAAACGTAAACCCTAAAATTTTACTAACATAACTAAAATTTTTCAATTTTATATTTGATGCTCTCAGATGAAGAAAATGGTGGTGTTCTTATTATTGGCCTCCAGAATGACAGTAAACTAAAGCAAATTACCCTCCCTCCCAGTTCTGTGAAAAAAAAATTTATATCTTATTTGTTTAAAATGTAACTGCTTCCCTTTGATCTATCATAGTTTTAAATGAAAACAAATAGTCTTTCAGAGGATCACCCAATCTTTGGAGGTTGTTTTTTTTTTGTTGTTGTTGTTGTTTTGTTTTGTTTTTTTAATGTAACCAATATAATTTTTATGTCTGGGGGTTATAGCTGTCAGAGCAAAAACAACCATTTAATTTTTTTTAATTAATAATCTAGGAGATGAAGAAACAAAAAGACCATTAAAATCATGCCACAAAAAGAAGTGCAGCCAATTTTCTCTTGCATCCAATTTCCAAATACGTATGAATAAACTCTTGACATGTTTTCTTAAAGGCCTAAAGCCTTCTTAAGATTTTTTACTCTTACACAAGAAGGCAGGATCTTATCTATAACTCCTGGGTGCTGAGACTTCTATGCTTCCTGACTGAACAGTTATTTTCTGACAATGGTTAGGAAAGCTTTCTTGATTGTCAGGATTTCTCAAATGGAGAAAACTTTCCTTCCACTGCCAAATTTCCCTCCCAACTAATTTATTTGACCAATTGCAACCTCTATTCCCTCCAAGCATAAAATCTCTTACTACATACACTTTTTAAAAAATAATAACAGGATTCCAAAACTATCTTATTTTTAAGACTTGCTCAAGGATATAGTTTGTTGAGCAAAAACACTGTGCCTAGAATGCAGGTCTTATGACTTAGATTAGGGCTCTTCATCCTCCATACTCCACATTTCAATATCAACAAGCCATCCTTTCCTTCTAAGCTTCTTCCTGCACAGTGTCCATCTCAAGTCATGGATCAGCCTTGCTGGTTGCCATGACTAGCTGTCATCACTGCTGTTACTTACATGCAGCGAGGTTGAAATAACACAGATACCAACCTGATTCTGATTTACAAACTTAAACTTTAGCTAATTTGTTCTCTTTTAAAAACTCCAGAGCACAGAAGTTATTGTGTTACACAAAATATTCCTGAACTGTAGAAACTGAAACTCAAGAACCAGTCATATAAACCTCACTATACTTGAGAGGACAGCAATTTCCAAAAGAAGAAGAAGAAAAAAAGCTGATCACTAAAGATCCAAGTGGAACTGTTGGCATGGGGGAAATGTGGGAGTCACAGTGGTGAAGATGGAGTGGGGCTAATTCCTGGTTCAGAAGCTGGACCAAAGGGCTTACAGAGTCCTTCCTTCCAGTATTTGTGTAAAACAAAGGTTTAATGTAAAGATTACTGACATTCCTTGACATTGGTTAAGATTCATCAGGTGATTTTTGAAGGGGCAACCAATGAACATTGCCACCCAAAGAATTTTTGCTTTAAAGACCTGGAATAAGATAAGATATATTTTATTAACAACTCAGTTCTCAATGGGGCTTTTAGCTCTTTCACAATACATTTAAGTGAAAATAGAAAAAAATAGGTAGGGATTTTTTTTAATGTGATTTAGAAATCAGCTAGAAACCAATCCCTGTGTCTAATAAATGTCGTCACCTCTTCTACTCCAACTCTAGAAAAAGATGTTTTAGTGAATCCAAATGATGGAAATACCACCTGAACACGGCCCAGTGGGATTATTATTTGGGGGAAGCTTCACAAATAAAAGTTGTATCTTGTTTCCATAACGCTAAGCAGTTGCTTATATTTTGTTTTTGTTTTTTTTAATTTTTTAATTAAATTATTATCTTTGTACATATACCATTGCCCATCCCCTCCCACATTTGCCCTCCCTCCCCAGAGTTTTGTGTCCATTGGTTGTACTTATATGCATGTATATAAGTCCTTCGGTTGATCTATTATCTCCCCCAGATCTCCCTACCCTCCCCGCTGCTTATATTTTGAATATCCATGAAAGTTTTAAACTTTCTAAGTCTTCTTTTAAAATATAGACCGGCTGCTAGTCTGCTCATATGTTTTGCATAAAAAACCCACAAGGGACAAAGCCCTTCATTGATATGTTGAATTATTTTTTTTAACACACTTATATTTCTATCCTGAATCATCATCTCAAAAAGATGGCAAATTTCCATCTTCCCAGCTGGGGGGAGCACCTGCAAAATACAAACCCAAACTATGACACATCTGGTACCAAAAACCCAATCTGGGCAGCAGATTAAAATATCAGGATCATTGCACAGAAACAAGGCAAAAAGTTAACTACCTCTTATATGCCATCAACACAGATGTCTAGTTAAGCTGTTTATATTATAAGCACATGTATATGTAATGGAGCACAGAGCCCTTTAATAAGCCAGAGCTGGAATATAAATGCAAGAGAATGTTAAAGACCTGACATAGAAACTAAATTACTTTTTTTTTTTCAGAACCTCAACATTATTTTTAAACAGATGCATATAGCACAAAAAGTATTTTGTTTCATTTTGTTTCATTTTGTTTCATATTGGGGGTATCTCCAAATTACTTATTTTGTTTAAAATCTATATTTCATGTTTTTGTATTTTAATATTTAGATTATGGTCCTTTAAATGGCAAATTACTTACTTAAACCAAGTGTCTTGGTTTGTGTTGCTCCCAAAGTGGACCCTGTCACAAGAATTGAGTGTAGTTTGAGAGATTAACTTAGGAAAACGAGGAGAGGAAGTGAGGAAAATTAGTCAGGAAAAAGATGCCAATAAATGAGTGAGTTAATGAATTGATCGCTTCTAGCACTCAGTTTCTCTGGGAATCCTCTGGGAAATTGTGTGGAACTCACCTTAATAGCATCCCACCTGAAGCTGCCTAGGCTGATCCATGTATCTGCCAACTTCCATCCTTGTGGTGATGATTGCCCCAGGGACACTAATGCCACACCCCCTTTGTAACTGCCTGCAGGGGGCAAGCTCTCTGACACTAAAGAAAGTCCTCAGGTATAGGCGGGAGAGAGACAGAGGTTTGAAGTGGGATGCTGTCAGTGAGCTAGAAGTTTCTCCTGCAGCCCCCAATAAACTCAAGAGGCTGATGGGATGTGTGGCAGGCATCAACATCTGCTGACAGGTCAGTGCACTTTTTGATGAGTCTGACACCTGAAGCTGGAATAACTGGCCTGATGGCTTCATACCACATGAGCCTCTTCCTTCACCTTTTTCTGATTGGTTCTCCACCTTTTTCCCTCACATCCTCTATCTTGCCCTTTTTCTAGTCTAGTTTCTCCTCTGAGTATCACCCACTTAGCAAATCAGGTACCAACCATGTCCAAGACACATGATTCTGAATTAAATACAAAGACACATTAGATAATATGTAAAGTAGCATCTTATAGTTAATACTAGGATTCTATATAATTCTAGAACACATCCCAAATCCAACTAGAGAATCTTATATAAAATTGGTTGCCCTTCAAAGGTGAATTTTTCAGAGAAGCTAATGAAGCTCAAGCTTCAAGGCCCTTCCCTTGTACCAGTTGCTTCCAAGGCCCTGAATAGACCCTCACAACGTGTCACATGGTCATATTATTTTTGTAAATTTTGAATAATTGTTTAAAATCAATCTTTCCTCTTAGGTCCCTCCTTGCCCCTAACCCTTTGGCATGTCATACTTACACTGGATAGCACTGGAGTAGTCACAGTATTTTTGGAAATCCAGCACAGGGAAGTTGACTTAAGAAGGTACATTTAGTTTGGGTTTAGTGGAATATATCTATGCAATCCACAGTCACTTCTACTTAA